ATATTTAACAAGGTGCAAGGGTTGCACCGGTTTTGGTCGCATCGAATTAAGCAGCCAGTTGGGAACGTCCGGGTTGAACAAACGCCCGCCGAGCAATTATGAATTCCCTCTTTTGGGCGCGAGGGAATCCGCGCGCGCGCGCACACACGCTACTCAGTGGACGCTGCTTCAGCAGTCTAACCCCCTTTTCCTGCCCACTATTCAGTTAACTTCACCCTTGGTCGTCGTTTCACTCGAGGCCTGCCTGTCCGAATAGTTAATTAACACCGAGAAATTTGCATTTGGGGCAAGGAGCTGAAACCCCCAACCGCGGAAAATTGGCCGAAACCCCTCTGGTCCTTTGCTTCCGGAAAGTTGGCTACCGGTACATCTTGGTGTTCAGGTTCGCCCATGTTCGTCAGTTCTGCATAAGGAGATTTGAACTGCCGTTACTTCCTCTCCGCGCGTCACGGTACACGTCTAACATCTTCAGTCGGGAAGCCTAAGTACGTACATTCTTTTGTGTGTAGGATAGTCTGTTGAGTACTTTGTTCTGTAGTCCCTTTTAGCCCGTTTTCTTATTGTCGGATCAAAGTTGACAGTAGTTAGTAGACTAAAGTTCAGTTTGCATTTTTGGAGCGGAAGGTGGGAGACGTGGAATTTCTTTGACACAGGAGCTATTGTCTTGAAATTTCAACTTTCGTTCACAGGTCATTTTGAATGATGTTTTATTTGGATGAAATGAAGCTGAAAACGATCTTTACGCCTTTCAGTATGGACGAATCACCCATGTTCCAACCTGTGAAGTCTAAATTCGATTTAAGACGGCCATCGTAAACTGAAGTATCCGACGAAGCTCTCGGAAACGTGGGTCGATGTAGACCCAGCACCAGCGTTCTAGAGTTAATAATATAATGACAGCAATCTTTTCTCATTGGTCGTGGAATCACCCCAAAGCCTGGAATTCCGGTTCGGACAATTAGGCTAGGATTGGCGCCCGACAAACAATGATCCCCCCATCCTGTTGGAAGAAGTTCGAGTTCATAGCCGGGGTGCTCGTGACTGGATCGTTGATCAACGGTGATTTATGAACGCCGTAGCGGCGCAATATGTTGGCACGTCGATAAATCGGCACCGAGAGAAGGAACCTCGATAACTTGTTTTGATGCATTTCTCTCCTTCTCTCTCCCTCTCTGTTTCTCTCTGGACGCGGAGTTTCGCGATTCTTAGGTGGTGCAATTTCGCCCGGAACGTCGATTTCCGCGAGAAAAACGAAATGGGTTTCTTATCGCGACGGGGAGAGAAACAGGGCGGACGGGAAAGCCCGATCGCTTCCTGGATTCCCTGCGAATTTGTTGATTCTGAAAGCTTGTTAGGGAGTAAAGGAAACAGAATATTCTTCACGGAATACCGATACCGACGGAAATATAACTTTATAACCGCGAATCCACCCTGAGTTTATTCAGACCGTTTCGAAACTTTAGCTACCACTACATATAACTTGCGTCGAGCCAATAGTAGACTGCTCCTCATAGTTACTCCTCTTATTTTGTATTTCATGTTCCTTGTATGTTTCTCTTTTTAAATATAGTACTGTAGAAATATTGTCATAGTTTTAAGTTATAAGGGTTTTCTTTGTGTATGAGCTCCGATTGCATTTTTGCTGATAACTAGACATTTTTATACAGAATCACATTTTACGAAGTAATTCGTAAAGACAAGAGTGGACGTACGAATTTCTTGATTCTTTTAAGTATCGTATTGAGTTTGGAATAAAAAATAAGATCCCTTTGCGTCTGATGACAGTTTTGTCTTTTATTGTACTTCACTGTGCCTCCTGCATCAAATCTGCAGTCTGTTAATCACATGTACCGGGTATCCTACGAGAAATAAAAGTCCTTAATTTTCAATTTCAATTGTGACCATTCTATACGTAATTTTCTTCGGTTGTAATATAGATTCAAGTATCTGTATATTTAAAGAAATAATGTTTTCAATACTAACTTCGCAAAAACAATAACTCTTCGTAACAAGTAGGAAAAAAGTTACGCGTTAAGACCACTGAATTCTGTATGCTGCATTTTAGCATTCGTAACAATTGAAGAAAACAATTGGCAACAAAATAGTAAAAGATAATCTAAAAGATGCAAATTTAGATATTTAAAGAAATAATTAATTTACAGGTTTGTACTTACAATTGAAACGAATGCATACACCTCATAATCCATTGAATAAAGTATACATTCCAAGATTCACAAAATAGTGTACTTTCCAAAAGGAGCAGTAAATCGTAAAATTACCTAGACCATTCGGATATTATTTACGATTCATTTATTTAATATATCCGATAATCTAAATAGCGTTGACCTCATGTAGAATCTTCATTTGAATCTCCTATTGCACGTCCTCGCGAGCAACCGCTGACAGAATGTTCCGGATTATCCTGCAATCCGAGATGGTAGGAAAGAAACGCTCTGTCTGGAAATGTTGTTACCCGTATTCAATTAACCAGTTCTCAACATAGCTGTCAAGGATGATCATCGAGAAGACAGCCGGCGGTCGTAGCGTTCGTGGAAGCGGGGGATGGAAAAACGAGGCCCAGGGGTATTATCAAGGGTAAGCAGCTATCTAGATGCAGACAACCCGCTGGAAGCAATTCTCATTTGTTTCCCACTTTTTAATCCAGTGCCTAGGAAAGCATCGGACTCCTTTGTGAGCACTAGCGTCGCTTTTTCCCCTCTCCAGGGGGTAGCGGACGCCAAGACGCGGAAGGTTTCGTGTATTAAAATCTCGACATTGTCCTATTCTCGTTGTTTAGCTGAAAAACAGAGGGTTCTCTTGCCCCTTTGCTACGGAGCACGTGGTATTAATTTCTGCTCGCAAACGGCATATTTAAATAGCTGGATTTGGATCTAGGATAAAATAAACTGCAGTATGATACGTTTAATCGTGGAATATTGTCCTCATTATTTGTCTTCTTGCAGTTTATAGTATATATTAGCGGGTGCTAGGAATATTGTATATCTAGTTTTGTTGGCTGTGCCAATAAATAATTCACCTTTTTGCTCTGTTGAATAACGTGAAGGAAATTTTCCTTTGGTATCTTGTGTCATTTATATTGAAAAGGTAGCAGATAAATTTGACGGGAAACTGTATTGCTACGTTAGTAAGAATTAATAGTGGATCATTCGTTGATACATCTCTACAAATACAAGCTCATTATACAATGCTATGTTTCTGAAAGCTGTAGGTACCTTGTCAATTATGATAACTCAGTAATTTCTGAATGTTGATTGCACAATGTTCTCACGACTCAACTGTTAAATAAACAGTATTCAATAATATAAATCAGCTGGTAAAAAAACATTGGAAATAAAATGTTGCATTAACATTGCTCTTAACGATTAACAACAAATCAACTCGCCAAGAAATTCCGTACCAAACCACAACGACCCAGTAACTTACACCTAGACTTCACATCGACGCTAGTCAACAGACTTCACCGTCGTGTCCTCGTTCAACGATATCCAACCCCAAAAATCCAGTTTCCCTATCGAGAACTTCAAAGCACTCCCGTCCCACGAACGGTCCTGGTCTTTTGACCAGTCGTCTTCATATCGACAACCACGGGAGCTCTTTAGGCGAAACTACTCTGCATAAGATTTTCTGCTTCTGTTAGTTCGTGGTTCCAGGGGGGTGGCCGATATCGTGTGGCGTTGGAGGTGGGGGGTTGCTTCCCGCCCCCTGATATCTCTGCTCTCCCCCTCGGGCTTCGCCAAAAAGTAACGTCGTAAAGATCGAGATAATCCGGGCCACTACGTTCCTTGGGTAACCCGCTTCGCCCCCGGTATCTGACCCGCACAATCCTCAACGTCCGCAGCTGGTAAATATCCTCCGGCGTCGTTCGAGGCATCCCACGGGCTGACTGGGGTGGGTGGCTGGCTGGCTAAGTCGCTCTTACGATTCCCCGTCGCTCCACCGCATCCTTTTCAGAGCCCAGTCGCTATCACACGGACCACGATTCCAAGCCTCCGTCGTCCACGGTCGCGTCAGATCCTCCTGGCCGCCCGTCAGATCCTTTTGACCGCGTCAGATCCTTTTGGATCACGCTGCTACAAAATTCTTGCAGGCTCCCGCCACGGTCGCCTAGCCCTTTACGACGCACGCGCGCGAAGCGTTTCCTGAGTTTACGAGGCAGCACCCGGTATCTCGACCAGGCCAAAGAGTTATTTCGGAATGAGGGGCCTCTGGCCAGCGTTTGGTAAATTTCCGACGTCCGAATTTCAACCCGTCACTGCGACCCACAACGTTTACAGGGACCAATCGCGTGTGGATACCAACGTCCTCGTTTCGGGAGTCTTGGATATGGTTCTGTGTGCTTTTGGAAGGGTTGCACGCGTTGAATGTGTGGATTAGGTAATTGGAATGGTTCGTTCTTCGGTGGCTAATTGACGAGAGATGACAGATTTACTCTTTTCAGAATGTGTCATTGACCGTGCGCTTTTTGGAAGGGTTCGAACGCGTTGCATATGTAGATGGAGTTACTGACTGTCAGAACTTCATTCCAGTTTTGTAATCAATATCGAATATGTTTCGTAGAGATAGTTGTGCGCAATGTGGCTGGAGGATTGTATAGCACAGTTTATAAAAGGGCACGTGAATAATTCATGCGCATAATTCTGTGCGCCGTGGGTCTGACGGGATTAAGAATTAAGTTGATTACCATACAGATCTCTAAGTACGGTCATTAATTAACATTTCATTTAAACCAGCGGCGAGAGAATTCGTTACCCAGGGATTTTCAAATGAAAACTTCCGTTCATTGAAAAATGAAGAACACCTCCTAGAATTACTATTATGAAACATGAATATACACAGGTCCCAATGACAGCAATCGGAACGGAACGTACACGATATTTCTTTTTTCTGTCGATTGTTGAATGTAAACTATGGTCACTGCTGACCGACATCTAACGATCTATTAGCATCAGCGTGAAGGATTTATGATAAGGACTTCAGCTATGTGCGATCCTGGAACAGAGGGCGTGAGACTAAACAATCCTGATGTTAGGCGATGTGTGAAGATCACGTCAGGCCTTTGGGCTCTTCCACTATTGGGTGTCATAGGTTTGTTTATGAAAAACTTGAGATGGCAAACAACTCGACGTTGCGTTGCCTTCAGAATAAGAACATTGGACCTGAAGGACCAGGCCACGGAGTGGGGAAGCCAGTGGTGATTTCTGCTAAGAAATACAGTCCTCATTAAAAATCCAAACACCGATAGAGATTTATTTGAAAGTCGATCTTCGCCATAATCCAGTTTGGCTAAGGTATTAATTAGACTAAGAGTGAACTGCTTCTTATTTAGAGGGATGAAAGTTCGTCTGCCTTGGCGTCATACTCTATAGCTCAATTAGGTAGATATGAAAGCAACCTGGTAATTACCTCAGCCATGCTAGTAAATGGGATTCTTGTATGCAGCCGGGGCCTAAAAAAGTCGTGGACAACTTCGAGAATGAAGGTAAACTGTCGATTTGTATAAAGCATCCCACGTTGAATGTTCAGACATTTATTCAGCCCTGTTTGCAACCTTAGAAATATACCCATCTCCCTGTCGAGTCTGGGGTTGTAGCCTACAATTGCTACTAGGTATCAAGCTCTAAATTCCCATTCACAAGACCGTAGTAAATATTAATTGCTCGCGAGCCAGGAATAAACTAGCCCAGCTTAGCCACAGTAATGCGTTTCTTCGTCGATACTTTCAATGGGTTGGGTGAAGGAGAACGAACACCTTCGAAGACAAGTAATTTCCTCGTGGTTTCTTGGTTCTTCGCGTGCGGGACCACCGACGAAAACGACGCTTTTGGTGGTAACGTCTCTTGCACATCGGCAATCTGAAGCATGGCTGGATCCCCTGGAAGTCCATATATCTTGTTGATGGATGCTGCTTGGGTCCGGCGATCGTACGATTTACTCCTCTCCGTCTCGCCCTCTCAGCTTGTCCGCCGCCCCCCGACCGCTCGGTTATCCTTCACGATTTCCTCTTTGCTTGTATATTGCAGCGGGGTTGCTGAGTTTGCATTCCCATCAGAGCCAATTGTTCTTGGGTTTCCTGATAGGGAGATGGTAAGGGGGAATGCGCGATGGGAACAGGAACGTGGAAAATTATTACGCGAGCATCGTCTGCGGTCAGACGGGTGCAGAGAAAGGATAGGGTATCGATATGGCTGTTGAAGTAGCACGTGGTTTCTTCCGACCGTAGTTAATCCTCGAATAGCTGTTCCTCTATCTGCGATACGCATGATCTGTTGTTGGGTCAGTTTCGATCCTTATTTCAGGCGTATTTTCAGGTTCAGAAAGAATATTTAAAATTTCAAATGTTGCACAGCTATCCAGAGAGAAATTTTACAAGAAAGATATAAATGCTGCATAGGCTACTGGAAATATTAATAATGTTTCTTTAAATTGATGTTCGAAATTCTGTAATGGTGACTGTAATCTCGATGAACGCTGTGGACATCCATCATATATCGATAGCAGATGTTTAAAGGCTATGATCGACCAATTGGTCAAAAGATGCCAAGAAGTCGTTGAAAAAAGAGGAACTATATTGACGATTAAACTTATCCCTTCGTAGGTTTCTTTCTCCTGATAAAGTCAGCACAAAAATACGCTATGATCTCTGAAATAACCCGATACAAGTTACCTATCAAGCACATTTATCCGACTTACCTCCACCTGGCTGGTCTCCACTCCTTGTTTTTTTTTTTTCTTTCCTCTCTTCCTCGTGAATTTCACGAAGCCATAAATCTTCAACAGACAGAAGTTATCGTGGATCTAAGAGCGATCACAGATGCTATCCGTGCACGTTATGAAATTAATGATCGTCTGTATCCCATTCGAGATGGGTGAGCCACGCCTCGAGATGGACGCTCGAAACAGCGATCCTCGTATACGACCGTAGCCATCCGGCAAGACTGAGAACGCCTTGAACCGTCAGTGTCAAGACCGTTTAACGGACAATTCAAGCGAAGTTAATTATTCCATCCTGCGGAATGAGTCAGGGTCCCGTAAATTCTTCTACGCGGGAGACGGTCGATTCAACGTTGTCTCGCCGCTGGAGAGCGACGAAACAGCGTCGAGAGAGCGCTGGGGTCGAAGGGGGAGGCTCGACTTTCCATTCATTCGACTAATGGATTCACGGATCTAATCTCGTCTTCTGCGATTTAACTCCGTGTGACGGAAACTACTTTCTTATTTAACCGTCCAGGTCGAACCGACACTTCGTCGTCTGACTCTTTAACACGTGACTATCGTTTAGACCATTGCCGAACTATTATATTATATTTCGTGTTTATAACCTACCTACAAATCAGCATTCGCTTCGAATCGAGCGAGGGTATTTTCACAAAATCCATCCAATACGATGGGAACATGTAAAGAAGAAAAGGTGTTTTATTGAGGCATTGAAGTGGGCTATAATTTTGGTAACAAATTTTACAAATTGACCATTTTTGGTGGTTTAACCCTGCTGTTCTCCGTACTTATTGTTCACGTTTGGATACCTTTGAAGAAATTATTTCAAATTCTGAAATAATTTGTTCTTCAGAAATGGAGAATACACAAAAACTAGAGGTGGATCTTAAATACGTTGGATACTAAAAAGAAACATTAGTATCGAAATATAATCTTCATTTCGGGTGATATAAACCCGAGGAGAATAGCAGGGTTAATATACAATATAGATATGTAAATGCTTCTGAAACTGTACACTATGATTTTTGAACTATAAGTGATTCAACAATTCGACAAGAAAGGAAATATGATATATTCATAGAGGTATTCGATTTAACTTTTAGCTCCAGTTTCATTTCTTGACCACGTCGAACACGGTTAGACACGAGTATAACTCAAAACTACTGAAACATTTCCAATTATAGTACCTTCTAGACACCCTAATGCTAACGCAGTGCCTCCAGCAAGGTCCTCGGATTAAGTTTAATAGGTAATATAAAATATACTTCGATTCACGTTCACTAGTCTGAGCACCCTAACGCATCCGTTCCGCCCAGCGGAGTATAAAGTACAATTTAACCCCGTGTAACGAGGGGATTATTTATCCCCTTCGACGCCACGACAGTTTCAAGTTCCCTAATTCACCAGCGAAACCAGCTATAGTTGCCAATACCTTACACCGCGAGCAATTAATAAAAGATGACTCGAGGATTCAAAAGAAAAGCAAACGGATCTTTGATCTCTCCTCGCAGTCATAGAACCACGAACGGACCAGAATGACAAGGCAAACGCTGGCAAAGAGCTTAACGAGCGGGAATTGCAAATAAACGAAAAATTCGTGGCTATCTACGTCAAAGTCTCCAAGGTAAGGGAATATTTTTCATCGAACCACGTCGCTTAAACCGTTCGTTGTCATTGTATCTCCGCCTCCTTTCCTCGGGATAACACGCGCAACTTCTAAAACATTTGCTCGCTATTAGACACGAAAATGGATTACGAAGCTTCGAAGCTTCAACGTCCATTCATAATTCTACGGTGAAACGGGGGACGCGCTAGCTCTCGAAAACTTTTCGCCGCTGTGACAGGGAGTTTATAAACGTGGGCCGCCCGTTTATTATTCCGTCACCCCTGGGACATCAGCGTAAAAAATAGCGAGGCTCTCTTGGTGGGGTGGCACTGCACAGGGGGTTGGGGTGTTGGGCGTGGCTAATCGGGGGCAGAAGGTAGGCGAGCAACGAAGACGACAATCTCTCGGCTATGAATAAATTTCATCGGGAGGTCTTCCACAAGGGCTGCTCTTTCACTTTACTTGTTCCCTTCACTTCGAGCCCTCGCCCCGAGCTAACCCCCTTGTCCGTCCATCTCGAAGATTATCGCGTGTAAGAGACTCTCGCATAATGTATCCGTCTACCCCCTCTCGTATTGCCCCGTGTTCTACTTCATTCGTGCGGAATTCCCGTCGTACCGTAGCCCGCGACGCGACCGCAAACCGGGGACCGTGTTACAAATTGGTTTGCTCGGAGATGACGGTGAAGATAAAAAGGAGCGGTTGATTAATCGCTCGACGTAATTGCTTTACGAAGGAAGGGAGGGTTGGTGTGGGAGTATTCTAGAACCTATGGTGAAGGTTTCCATGTGCATTTTATTGATTCGTAGAGGAGGGACTGCTTGGGCGTTGGATATAATAGTAATCCTGGAGATGTTCGTTGATGGGAGTTTGGTGGTCGGGAGTCTGAGGTGGTTTGGGATCGTTTGCTGTGGGTTCTGGAATTAATGGGGGATGAATGGAATAATTTTAATACGTTGAATGACATAGTTAGTCTTGGGATAGTAGCATGATTAAATACGTTTGTTCAGGTCTTTGTTATTAACAATATAAGTATTGTTACGCCGTGGGGTTTACAAAACCTTTTGCGCCTTATTTGAAATCAGAAAAACTTGTCCTTGAACGAAGGATTTTTTTTTTCGTTCCATACTATTTTTTTCATTGACCAAAAACGAGTGATTTTTAGGTGAAAATCGTTCTTCCATTACAGAAATGTTACTGAATTTTTAATTTCCAGACCACTTTTTGTGAAGAGACATCCGGGAGAACGCTCACCATTTATTTACTAATAAATATTTTTAAATAAAAAAATTACCTTATAATATAGAAACTGCAATCTTAGAAACACGAACAGATTTTTTGAAAAAGGTCTTATAGTTTTTGAGAAAAACATTCCTAAAGAACACTCTGTTTTCGGCCTCCTGACTGAGCATGACCCATTAATGATGTCGATCATCGGTAATCAATATGGCAGTTATGATACCAATCTCATTTTGTTCATGGAGGCATGTAATTAGTCTCTCCAAACCAGCGGTAAATAAAACGTCGCGCTTCGGGAAGAGGCCGACCGGCCGAGGAAAGAGAAAGCGACGGAAAGTACGAAAAGAAGCGGAAACAATGGAAAACCGGCTGAATGGATGGCGCGAGGAAAATGTAGCCCTACGGACGCCTCATTTAAGTGGACAAGTTCGCCCAACTGGTTACAACTTTTTCCATTGAGTAACGGAGATAGCGGACCCGCTACGAAACGGCTCTTTTATTCCTCGTCGTATTCGCCAAACGACTTTATGGATTGCCGGCTGGAAACCGCCCGAAAGAATATTGTTGCCGCCTCGCGCCGGCAACGATTGCTTTCTTGACATTTGCATCCTGTTGTGTTTCTGTCGCAGCTTTCCTTGAGTCGTACTCCTTTGACGAGCGTCTTACTATTAAGGGAAAGACTATTCTTTGGGGTAACTGATTCTTCCCTGTTTTCATGAAATTTCATACAGAAATACTGTCTCGTTAGTGTAGAATTATTATGCTTTCGTAACATTTTGCGAATATATAATAACACGGTAGTTCAAACGTTATGTTCTATATGAAAAAAGTCTTACAGTGATATTGTTACGACGTCTCAAGTCGTTGAGCTTTTCGACTGTCTCTATTCGGAGTAAACCAAAATGGCACGTCGAGGTTATTACACTTACCCCAAACGAAATATGAAATCATTAACGCATTAAAAGTGACGACAGTATGATAAATATAGCAGTAAAATATAGTGTTGAGAAAGGTACGATCAGTGGTATCAAACATAAGGGAACGAGATATTGTATATTTTTATACAACATATCATTTTTTCCTCATTTGTATTATTATGCGTATAATATTCTATTATCCAATAAATCTGTTATTCGAGGTTCTATTGTATCCCAAAAAAATGCAAAACACAGTTCCCCACCATCGATATATCGTGAATTTTTCGTTCCCAGTAAAAACGAAAATGAACAAGAAATAACGTATTTAAATTATCGATTCTTTATTAACGTCGCAATGTTTTCGATCCTAGTCGATCGGAAAAGCACTCGAACTGCAATCGGATGTTTATTCCCCCGTTCGCTGAATTTCAATTCTCGCAGCGTTCATCTAATCACCACGGATTTATCAGTATTATAGCTCCGTCGACTAATTTCCGGCGCGTGCAGCTTGATGCACTTCTGATGTTTTAACGTACACGACTGCAGACTAATCGAAACCTCCCACTGTACACCCAGCCACTGTGAAATCTGTGTGAACGTCGACAAGCTGATCTTTTAATTACTCTTGTTTCTGTTGATAATTGAGTTTTAGGATCGAGTTCAGCTGTTTGCGCTCCGAGAAATGCCGCGAAGCTGATTCCGTAGATCATTCTACGAATTCGTGGAATGTGTGTACAAACAACTATGTAAATCTTGTTTGCCCGAGTACATTTTCATTATAGAAACGGTTCAGAAAATGTAGGATTGATAAAAGGTGGCTTGGAATCTAGAGAAATATCGGTAAGGGGTAATTCTGTCACGATTTCAATTATTCAGACGGATAATTCATGTTCTTCGACGTTCACTTTGATTTTTTGATAGAATGATAGTATGATAAACAAAAAATTTAAAGACCTCGAAATAAATAGTGAAGATTCCATACCTTTAATTAACGAATTCACTCTTTAGTTATATCTTCTGCTACTTATTTGAATATTCGAACTGAAGGAAGCTACTGAAATATCTCCCTTCATTTTAATGATACGAGAAACGTTTAAAGGCCAATTTTAATGGTTTCGAAAGAGGAATACCACAGAAGGAAAAATTTTCAAATGGTCATATTTTTCCAGTCCACAACTTTGCAAGCTTAATCTTCCAGATGACCTTCAAAACTAACCTTAAAATAAATAATTGAATTTAGGAGTATATATCCCAGCAGACATTGCTAAAGTTACCTCGGAACGTATTGTCCCAGTCAATCTCGAAGGGATTAAAGAAATAAACGAAAATAATTCAAGTCAGACTTCAAGTTGCATGGAAATTCTCGATCGTCGTTTCGTGTAAACCGAGATGCTCAAACAATTTCCCTGGACAGGTGATCACGATCGGATTTCACGGTGGTATCACAATATTTCGTCGAGAGGTTTGACAACCCCTAGGCGTATCTCTTCCACCGGTCTGTAAAACCAACGCCTTCGACCGTTTCCGTTTACCGTCTACAAAAAGAGAAGAAAAAAAAAAACAGGAGAAAAAAGCGTACGAGGGAGAACAGCCCCTCTGATGTACCGCGAACGGCCGTAAACCGTTTCAACATCTCCATCCTTTCTCGCTCTCCCTTCTTTTTCGTCGTCTCGCCTTCACCTGTCCGCGCGCGTCCGCCTCAATTTTCTCAAGAGAGCATCTATATAGCCGTGGTACGACCGACGTGGATATTCCTTAAGTACGTAGCAGGAAAAAAACTTCTACGCGAAATTACGGGGCCAGTACACGCTGACTTCGGGACCGGCCGGAAATTCGAAAACTTTCCGCCTCTTGTTCCGTGCCATCGTGGATCGTTAATTCGTACAGGAGAGGAAGTTAGAACATTCTGATCGTAGAAAAAGCAAGGGGAAAGAAAATTCTATCAAAACATTCCGTGATTTTGTTTAAATAATTTTAGAAATTTTGCTTGGTTAAATTCTGAGCATGAAGTGAGCTTTTGTGGTTATGGTGTATATGAAATCGATGATGCAACAGTTCTCTTTTTAACCCCTTGCCTTAAAACATCGAGTCAGTGTTTAAAAGCTTCTGGGCACTGTGCAATGAATATTTCATAAACTCGTGGCCATATTCGGGTGAAACAAATATTGGCTTGAGAATTCCAAGCTCTATCACTGTGCTAAATCTTGTTAAAATGTCAGCGTTATACCTGGGGACCTCTCCTTGTCAATGCTGAGGAGCCTTCGAACACTTATCCAGGATTTACTGTACATGAATATCATTAGTTTTCTTTAAGTCAAAGTGCAATACTATTTTCCTAGTATTAATATTTAACTTTTATAGTAAATTTACAGTTGTGGCAAGTACAGAATTCATTTGTTTTTGGAAAACTATTGGAAATAATTCATTCTTTTAGTGCAGTGATGGGGAACTCAGTGTCGGTTAACTCGACGATGTTTGTGACATGATGAAATTGATTTACATTGAATTAATTAGATTTATGATAATAATTAACAGAATGGAATTCGTCTTTGAGGGTGAAGGAGGGAATGATAAGTCCAGGTAATTATGGTTGACCGTATGGGGGAATGAAAAGTCCGTGTGATTATCGCGTGACCGATGCATACGCGGCAGTGCACGCAAAATAGCCGGCGAACAGGCGCCGTGGATGTATATAATTGAGGGTTCGGCAATAGATTGCGACAGGAGTAAACTATGGACGCGGTAGCAATCGTGTCTACTCGGTTAATAGCTCCGCATTGCCGACGTTGTATACTTGCCGCGTAAATAATTGCTCCCATACGCATCTCCTGTCCGCGATAAGGTTGGTCGTTGCGTTATGGA